TTCAAAAAGCGTATGTATAAAAAAAAATTTTCTATTCAGTTTTTCTATTATTTAGTTAGAAATATTTCCTGTAGAAAAGACTGAATAAAATTAAAATTACTTAGATTTTATCAACTTGTTTATCTTAGAGGTTTCCCTAAAATGAAAATATTAAGTAGTACTAAGTAGTTTCATTTCCAATTTGCATAGTGGAGGTCAGTCTCCTTCCAAAAACGCCCTTATTTTTAAATCTTTTGTTCGAAGGAAATTTAAGTGTGAAATTTAAAATTTTAACGGCTAAAGTAATGATTCATAAGCAAGGTCAAAGAAATGAGTTTCTGCTCTTTATAAGGAAAGACAACATTGTAACCAAATAAAACCGTTGCTGGATCGCCCACTTACAAACCGCTAAGTGCGATGCATTTTGGCAAACATTTGATTTCAATGCTATTTCCTCGCTTCAAGATTTTAAATCACAATGAATCATAAATCTTGTTCTTAATACATGACTAGATCACTGATTATTGAAGTGTAGGTGCAGGTAAATGAACTTTCAATAAGAGACTTTCTTCTCGATACATAACAAAAGCAATTACAATAATTGAAGAATTGTAGGTACCGGAAGCTCAATTAATTCAAATTTGAAACCCCACATAAGAAAACGAATCAATTCCACAAATATCCTTTGAATCACGCTTTAAAATAAACCAAAAAACAATAAAATTAACTATTCCTTTGTGAGCAAACCTCAATTTGAAAATTTAAATTTGGAACCTAACTTGTTTTGTTTATGTCCTCTTCTGCACCAATCCAAATCAAGAATTTAAACCAAACCGACCAATGGTAAAGCGGAAGTCCCCCCAGAAACACACAGTGACCGTTTCTGTCAGATGTTTATAAATGCACCAAAGCTGTTTTATCTCAAGATATTTCTTGTGTTGCTTTTGGTGCTTTGCTGCTCAAGTAGTGTGAAAGTACATTTTACTGCTTCGTTAAACCGATTAGTAGAGGGTGAGTAGGTTAATTGATCAATTTTACGCGATTTGGTACATGATTTTATGCCCAATGGGTGAGAGTGATGGATGTCAAAAATTGACGTTTTTCTTTGGAATTTTTTGTCAGTTTAGTGAGTTTTAACACAGAATTATTCCCAAAATTAGAGATTATTATCAAGAATGATAATTACAGACGGGGTGGTTCAACTCTCATTTAATCATTTTACTTTTTCACGTGAATTACAAAAGTGCAATGAAGGACAAAATTAATGACACATTGTTATTTATCATTATTTATCACCACATAATAGCGACATTTTTAGGATTGAGTCATTGTTATCTTATCGTAGAGAGTATATTTGACACCGATTTTTAATTTCCTTGTTCTTTATGTTCCAGGTGTTAACAATGGCTGATGTCGAAGTCGTAGTATCATCACCAGACCGTAAGTTGTTACACTTTTGACTTTTCGTTCAAGAGATTTTAATGCGACAACCTGTTGCGCAAAGATTTATGTTATTATAAACTGTACCTATATTTCCCTTCATAATTTATTTATGTGCGCCCATTTATGTCATACGTTCGTGTTTATCACGAAGACTATAAAATTCTAGACATTAATTTGACTTGGTATTTATATTTAAAGAACCAATTTCATTGTTTCACCGGGTAACGATTGTTGAACTTGCGAGAGTCGTTTAGCTCACGTATGCTGACCTTGATGCAGGTCAGCACTGATTAGCGTTCAGTTTATCACAGGTCAGGGTTTTGTGTGCTTTTGTTGTTTTATCAAATGTTTATATCTCTAAGACTCACTCTTTGAAAATAATTAGTTATTGTTAAAAGACAATTGATCGATTTTACGGTTTAAGCAAGCGTAATAATTCCTTGAAACTAGTACAGACCAACCCTTCAAATTAGCATAAATTACATTGACAGTAGGAAGTATTGAAACAATACGAGGCGATTTATTTCGACATCTATGCGATGTACATACTTGTGTAAGAACAGTTTTTTTCGCCCTGAGTTGAACACATGGTGTCACGAGAGACATTTCCTCGTTCTTATAGTGTCCTCACGGAACTGACGGAAACGAAGCAGGAAATGAATACAATTGATTCAATGCCAATTTCTTCTTCATCTAAAGATGAATCATAAAGTGAAAAAAATTATTCCCTAATGCGAAACTTCCTGATTTCATGGTCTTGGTGTCAGTGACACACAATGTTTTCAACTTGTCATTGTCACCATTGTGATAATGAATGGCCAACACGTGGAACGAGGAAGATTAAGTCGAGACGGTAAAAATTTTACCCCACGCCGGCCTATACCATAAAGAGATGAAAAAATCCGGGAGACCGGATCGCCAAGGATATGAGTCGATCCATATGTGGCATTAGTTACGTAGATGGAATACCAAAATTGTGATGAAATTTTTATGGAGTGTCAGGGAGTGTTGCACTTGCAGGAGTTACTTTTGGGAAAGGAATCTAATACTAACGAATCCTCTTGGACTTAATTACCATCGAGGTCAGGCTGTAAAAGTAGTGTGCGTGGGTTTTGTCCATATCGGGCAAGTTATAATTAGAAGATATAATTTGTATTTATTTAGAAAAATATTTAGTTAACGGTTGTCCTGTATCACTTATTCATGAAGTCCCCGAAAAAACCTTTGTTTCACCAGACCCAAGAAGATGAGACATGAAAAATTCCAAAGACCCTTGTTTAATTATGCGGGGTGTTTGTCTGGTAGATTAGGTTGAATTTGGTCAAAGGCGTAAAGAGAAGAGGGTCGGCTATTGGTCTAGTCTAGTGACTCTTTGGCGAAACGCCATTGGGGCTGATGCCCTAGAGCTTTCACGCACATATACGAAAGGAGTTGGCGTCGCATCGGCGGTGGCGTCTGTGGCGACGACGCCATCCGATATCGACCGGAACCGGCCCCCATGCGGCGTCGCAAACCGACGCCGCCACCACACCTGCTGTAGACTCATTCACTGTAGTTTTGCGACAGTCGGAGCGTCGTCGACGTCGTTCTCGAGAAAAGTTTCCACGTGGAAAAGAAAAAAAATTGGAAAAATGTTGATCGGGCTCGTGAGAGAATCGGTTATGCAGTGCTTCTGCCACACGTGCCGGGCACCACTTCCAGCTGCCGGTAAGTATGATTTTGGAAAATCGAAGTATCGATTGAGATCGACGTTTCGGTTGTTAAATAAAGGGTAACTTCTGAAAGTCTTGTAGGGGATGATTTGTAGATGAGGGAGGATTACTTAGATGTTAAGGGTCTGAATTGAGGTAAAAGAGGTTTGCTATTGGAGACAGATGTTGGAAATATTCGTATTATACGAAAACTGACTTTCATAAATCAGTTAAAATTGGTGTTTGCTTGAAGAGTTTGTTTCAAAAGTTTCGCGTTATTGATCAACTTTAAATAACCATTGCATGACGAGTATAGCACCACATTTTTCACTTTCTTTCAATTTCTTCTCCTGTTTTTGGAGTTGATGAACTTTCTTCACTTGGGATGGTCACCCATTTAGCTATAGACCTTTTTATAGAAAGAAACATTATTCAACAATCAAGTAGGTTTTATTCTCACTTTTTATTGATGAAAGGCTAATAAAATCGCTTTATCTTCGAATAAAACCTTAACGGGATGCTTTGTGGCTATTTGAACGTTTCAGAACCGTCGCCAACGTAACAAGTGCTCCTGCCGCACTAATAGTCAAACTTTTGTTGGCGAGATTTAGCAGACGCCCGTGAAGTCCCGGCGGTGTCGGTTTATTGCCCGATTAATGGATGGAGGAGCCCGGTAACCCGGAATTCCCCCGGTCTGTGAGTCATCACTCTCCCACTGTTGCTGGGGAGAAAGCGAAACGGGTGAATTCACGAGGGGCGAACAGGAGGGGTGGAAAGGGCACACGCCCGACGCGTGTGTTTGGAAGGAATGCCAGACGTTCTGGAGATAATTGGGATTACAGAGAGATGTACAGGTGTTTTGATAAGAGAACGACGGACTATTCGGTTTAATTGCGGCAATTCCTGTGGCATAACCGAGCATACGTTTCGAGGATCGGGGAGGAATTCATTTCGGTTTTTATGGTCCGAGGAAGAATCTAATTTTGTTGCGACAATGAAAGTACTCGCGTGGAAGAAATATGTTAATAAAGAGAGGTTAAAATGTCGTTTGAAGTTTGTAAGGGTTCGTGTTTTTTAAATAATCGGAGGTTTGACATGGGGGATGAGTAAAGTTTCTTTTGCTTGGCTGATTTGCGGTTTTAGGTTTTATTGAGTTTGATATAATAATGAATGAAAAGGAAATGAAAAAATTTTTTCTATATTTTTGTTATTCTTGTTATTTTTTAATATTTTTCGGTGGAATCTGTGAAGGATTACACTGGGATGAATAATAAAATTGTTTTCTATTCCTGACTTTCGATCGATGCGTGTTTGTCGATTGTCGGGATTAAACAGATGACAAGGAACTTGATGAACCTCAATTCCTTGCGGTTAAGATTGCGATTGACTTTAGAGATTGATCGTTGAATGGTAAAAGCCAATTTGACAGGAATGATAAATCAACACCCGCCTTTGAGCTTCTGAGGGATTTTTATTACGAATGGAATAATCAATAAAGTGGGATTTAATTACACAAGACTTTCTTGAGGTTACTTTGCGAGTGGGATTTGTATTAAATTGAATCGCCTTTTCAGTGCACAGAAGACAAATTCCAATCACAAAAGTCAAAACGAAACCAAGGACAAACCAACCAAAAAGGGTACAATTCGTGAGTAAGTAGTCCATGAATAGACCAATAGAATGTATTTTTTTCTTTCAATAAACGCTTGTTTCTTTTTTATTTGTGTTGTTTATTTAATTTATGTTAATTTGTGGCACGCTTATTTCGACGTCAGCTTTTTCTAGATTTTAGACATGCGAAACCAAAATTAGGTAACTGTAGTATTGCAGATCGATTACCTACGAGGATAATGGAAAAGAATGTCAAAATTTACGTTAAATACACTTTTACGGATGCATGTGGCATCTTGCCATTATGATGGGAAACCCGTCGAATACCACCAGAAGGTTCAATTTTCTTTACTGCAATGCGGATAAGTTTTGATTTTTCGTTCGCAGATATAGTGACGTGATTTATATCCATTTCTAAATTAGATAAACGTTGCGCGTTTAACTTTTGGGTGAATCTTTATCGGAGTTAACTCTTAACATACTTTCGCGGGTGGGTCTTATCACAGGTAAAAGCCAACAATTTTTGCCGATGTGGAAGACGAGGCGGGAATTTTGCACTAATTGAAAGTAACGTGAAAGATCAAAAGTTCAAGATTGTTTCAGTCTTCACCTTGTCAAGATTAGGTCGGATTTGTGGTTTGTTTTACTGAAATTTCATTCAAATTTTAATTGGGATAGGGTGAACTTTGCGTGATTTTATAACGTGCGGGTTATTGAAATCAGAGAGACAATTTTTCATTGTTCTTTGTCTAATAAGCGACATATTAATTTAGTGTTTTATGGAAAACGTTGCAGATTATTAATGTATTGTAACAAAACCGTGGTTTTTGTTAGTATTGCTCTCGCGAATCATTAATTACGATAAAGTTTTTCACGGCTTATTTCAGCTTCAGTAAAATACGAGTACAATGAAGTTTCAGTAGCGAAAAAAAAATAACGAATAATAGGTAGGGAAGTGCAAGCTCGGAGAAAAGCTTTCACCACTTTTAATGAAGCTTGTTATTTTCACAAATGCTTGTTTCGCATTTAAGAAGTTGCAAATACATAACATTATTTCTCTGAGTCATCTTAATTGCAGTTCTCGCGAGTTCAGTTACCTGAACTGGAAATTTATTTTGTTTACCGAAGTTTGTTAAGTATTTATGAACATTTCCGTAGAAAAATTAATTTAGTATAAAATTATTGACATTGAAACTTATAGCTTTTTTAGGGCGAGAGAGATTTTAGTATTTTTAGACTTACATACATAATTATGTAAATATTTATTATTTCTATTAAAATGTAGGATGTCTACAAAAAATTGCATTAATTTATATTTCTATAATCGATTTAAAACAAAAGTAGGCGAAACTTTAGATTATTTATAAAAAAATATGCAAATAAATTCGTGAACAATACTGATTTTTATTTGTTACTTGTGTTTAGTATTTTTGTCATTATGGTGCCATTTTTAATTAATACCTATGTATTAGTTCTTTTGGTGTGAATTTTTTATTTTTATACGTCATCTATTACAGATGCAGGGGAAGGGTGTCTGCACATTATTATGAAAACTATAGTTTATATTAAAACTGAAATTCGAGAGATTAAACTTGACATCAAGCAAAACAGAAAGATTTAAAATTCTCTTTTTATATTCAGTATAAATTGGGAATTATTACGTCAAATTGAATTATTGATGTTGACGCCACGCATAAAGATGGAAATCAATCAATTTTACTGTTTGAAAGTCGAAACAAATTGGAGAGTTTAAAACTGTAAACCCTTTTAATTTTTGAACGGTTAAAATTTTAATTACTCATTAATCGTGAATTTAATGTTGTTACCCCCGCATTGATTTGTGCGACTAAAATTATGTACACGTGAAGGAAATAATTATTGTTTAAAACATGCAACTTTTAAAACTCGCATATGTACACACATTGAGGAAAAATATCATGCAATTGGTTGCTTATATCGATGGGGCCTTGAGATAAATTCCTCTCAAACTCAAATATCCTGTAAAGTTGTAAAACGGGTCGATGCCACTTCTATTTAATAAATTAGCTATTAACGCGACAATTACTCAAACGCGCGTAGGTATATTTTGCGTTAATTCCCTCTTTGCAAATTTCGCTAAACGTACATTGGGTCGAATTAATTTTGCGTAATTGTAACAGAGACTTGGGGGCTGTTGCCATTTTTCATAAGCCCTCATCAACAATTGATGACCGTGTGGACGGCTCGTTGCCTAGGTCTTATCGATCTTCGTCGTCGACGGCGCCCCAAAGTCTATCTTGACGCCGCCATGTACACACATACAAATCCACCCTCGACGTCGCGTCTCTGACGTCATCCCGGAAAAAGGGAAAGAGAAAGGACTCTCTCCCGTCATCTGCAGAGTCCGCATCAGCTCACCTCGCCGTCTGAGTGGCGAATTCAGAGAATGAAATTCGTCTGGCGGGCGGCCATCGATTTCCCACAAAATATTTTTTTACCCCACGGAAAGGGAAAATTGCGTTTGCGGAACAAGAAAATTGGCTGACAAAGTTAACTAATTTTTTTTGGCCTAAAGAAGGGGTTAATTAACAGTAGCGTAGCAAAAAGATTTTTTTTCATTTACCTCTTAATATACTTCATTTTAGAGTTCTTGCTTTAAACAGTACATAATTGAATAATTTCTAAAATATTAGATTCGTGCATGTGAAATAGCCGTTTTCTTAAATGGATGTATTATTTTTTGGAAACGCTAAAATAAATGAAAATTGACGGAATCTGAAGTAAATTAAACTTACTTTTGACAATTATCACTAATTTTGCTGTTGAAGTGAGTAATAGTCTCTTATCACAATTTATGTGTGTTTGAGCTCAAAAGCTCAAAACATAATAATTCAGAGACAAACTAAAAAGCCCCAATAGAACAGTGGCTGAGATTTATAAAAATAAAATTTGAATGAACTGAAAGTTTTGAAACCTTTTTGAGGGAATGCAGTTAATAAAATCATGTTTGACATATCATCGGGCTTTCATATCACGGAATATTAGTTATTACGCCACTGAGTCTCCAGCCACCATCCTGCAAAATTATCTTTTCGCGGATCGTTCATCAAGAATTACAATTCAGTTAGAGCCTAATGAAAACGCGCCCTGATTTATAAGAAGTGATTCTCAGCGACACAATTATTGCCAACAATGGTAATTTTCAAGCGTAAAGAATGAGTCTTTTCGGTTCGTTTCTCGACGAGGGTCGGAGGATTTTTAAATCGGTGCTATTTCTTGCACCTCATTATCGTTATTTTCCGCTATTTTTTCGCCCTAATGAAGACATTATTTTCGTTTTCGTTTTTTTTGGTCCTACAAATTCTCGGTCGTTTTGTTGTCATCTCGTCGTCGTATAATAATGAATTCTCGGACTTTTTTCAGCGACCGAAGTTCGTTGTCAGGAAAAGACCAGGGGCGGATTGCGTTATGAGGTCATTCTTAGCGAACCGGAAGTCAAGGCCACTCCGCCCAAAAAGCCCGTCTCACCGAAGAACAGCATGTCCGTTCAGGATATCGAGGATAAGTTGAAAGCCGCCGAGGAGCGTAGACAGGTAATCAATGAAGGGGTAAATTGTTGATAAATAATTGAATTTGGTCATATACGGGTTAGTAGAAGCAAGGTTTTTAATGTGGGAGTTAAATGGGGTTAGTAAATACACTTGACACAGGTAGTGAGTGTTATTTTTTTAGGTTTCCTTTTATTTTCAATAATAATTAATCATTCTCCTAGTAGGGAGCAGAATAAAAACGTGGGGTAATTCCTTCAAAATTCTAATAAACTCGATGAAGTTGTTATTGAATTTACTAAGTTTTCTGCCGGTCTTAATCGAATCGTCTCTTTCAGCAATTAGAATCTAATAAAATCGCGGCGTTGGCGACCAAGATGCAGAAGATAGAGGAAGCGTCCCGGAAGAAAGACGAACAGACTACTCAATTTATTTCGGCCACTCGAGACGCTCTCGAGCAAAAAATGGAGAACCACACGGAGAAGCGCGAAGCGTACATAACGGATTTGAAAACCAAGCTTAAGGTAGTATAAACGTTTGATGTCGTTTGCGGGAAAACGCATGTTTAATCCTCAGGATCACATCGAAAACGTAGAGAAAACCCGATTATCAATCGAACAGCAGACCGACGAAGTGAGATCGGCAATCGAGGAGAAGCTGAAGACGGCATCAGTCCAACGCGACGAGAATATCAAAAAGATGCTGGAGCGTCTCAAGGAGCACGTAAGTAATCAATGCTAGACCGTTATCGGCGCACTTGAATTACCACAATCATAAAACATCTCATTCACGAAATGCTTGCATGTTTATGTGCATCATCTAGGAAGAACAAGTGCAAAAGGTCCGGACCAGCAATGCTCTTAAATTCCAAATGCTGGAAGCGGCTGTTCAGGAAAAACTCGAACAGGCACAGAACAGACGCTCACAAATCGAGCAAGAACAGAAAGAGAAATTGCGTAATTATGTAAGTAAATTTTCAGACAAACACAATACATTTTCCGTGTCACCACACTTTTTTATCTTTTCTTTTCACCTTTTTCTTTTTGTTTGATTTTTATCAAGAACTCACGCCCTTTGGAAATAAAACAAAGCGCTGTTTCCACGTTAGAAGTGCGCAAAACTGAAGTTTCAACCCAGCTGGAAACTAAATTAACTATCGCCGAACAAAAACGGGAACAGGAGATTCAACGTAAACTCGAGATCGCCAAAAAACATGTAATTATTTTTTTCTTCCTCACTACTAACGATAAGAATGTATCATTAGTAGTTTTATTATTTTTTGGTTGCTTTTTTCACCTCTTATTTTAATATTTTATTTTATCTCCGACACGTATTGGTAGAACGAGCACTTGATGGAAGTTAAACAGTCGATTGAATCCGAGGAAGTGAAAAGCAAGACTGAAATTGTAACTAAAATCGAATCTAAGCTCACGACAGCTGAGCAAAACCGGGAGAAAGAAATGCAGCGCAAATTGGAGAACATCAAAAAGAATGTACGTATTAGAGCTTTTCTAGGGTGTGTTGTTCAGTTGGTTTCCTGTTGAATGTAGGTAATAAATTCAATGCGGTAATAGACAATAGTGGTTTAATCTTGGTACGTTTTGTTCTCGCTTTTGTATATCGAAACGTCAATATCATAGTGTTGTTTGGCACTATCATGACAGTGTATCGCTCTTAAATTAAAAACTGACATATTTTTGCTACTTTGACTATTCTTCAAGTACACAATTGTGTAAAAAGAAAATTTTAATTATTATTGAAAATTTTAATGCCTTAACTGTTGGCAGTGTTACAAAATTATTGGGTTTTCCACTCCCAAAATACAAGTGGGAAATCATCGTAAACTGTGATTCTGTGTCTACGTATTAGAACGTAGGTAATGAAAAATAGCTAAAATATGAAACTGTCTTCACCTTAGGAGCGATAGACTGGAAAAAATATGAAAAATAGTTACTGTCATGGGGATTGTTTTTCAGGAGAAACGAGCCGAAACGGTGCGCCAGAACAAGGCGAACATCCTTGCTCAGAGCACTCCTTCGTCTGGTTAAATATCAGGAACCGTAGTTGTATTTTCTATTCATAATCATCTGCTTTTATCAACAAGTCTTGGGTTTTTTGCCTCAAGATTAATATCATATTTCGAGAAGATTATCAGTAGTTAAGTTCTTCTCAAGTATTGCTTTTAGACTGAAAACTTGTGATTATTTTATATTTTCATTTGTATTTGTTTTTAATGGTGTATATTGCATTACCAATGCTCATGTTTATAAATGGAATCTTTTCTCGTTTCTGTAGTATTTTTTGCAAAAGTCCAATATATAATATAATTAATTAATTAATATTCATAAGCGAATTAATGGTAACGTTAATTGTGTTTTTTGAAATGACCAGCTGCTTAGCCACCTGTGAACAATTATAAAGCTTTAAGATGTGTTTCGCGCACTTTTTCACGTGTAGCTAGATATTTAAAGAAATGTAAATCAAAATTTTATTTTTGTGTAAATGCGAAGATGGTTTTTTTCGAGCGATTTGGTGATGCGTTGACTAAATATTTCTTATAGAAAATTGCAGCTAACGCATGTCAGTGCCATTTTTATTACAAAACGCTCGAACGATTCGATCGCAAAAACTAGGAAGTAAGGTTATTGATTGCATAAAAAGTATACATGATTGAAGTCTACTTTTTAAATTTCAGTAAGGGATGAGTATTCGTTAAGTGTTTATATCACAACATCCGCCTTGTGTATGAACCTCGGGAATGACTGAAACTGTGCTTTTTTGATGTAGTTGTTTTAGTTTGATTTGTTCACCCGATTGGGCAAATAAACGAAAGTATCACTATAAGCTTCTGTGATGAGTTGTTTTTTTCAAATATAAATTTATAGCAGATATTTAGCTAAAGTGTAAAACTAGTATTTGTGTAGTGTTCGGCAGTCACCGATTTATAATGTTTCATACGCTTTCATGTATAAACGAATTCTTTGTTCAAACCATAAGTTGTGGAATCATAGTATACTGATTAACGCTACATTTTAACGTGTTGGTTGTATAACATTTGTAACGATTTGGTTTTAGATATTACGTTTTGTTCTATAAGTACTAATGTTGCTTAATAAATATTATTAACAATTGAGACGAATCTTTTTTTGTATAAATAGCTTTATTCTGTGAACCACCTTTGTACAAAAACCACAATCACTTTAATTACCTAACAAGCATTTATAGGCCTATATAGGAACAAAAAACAAAAGTCATAAATAACGTTAAAACTAATATCAAAATTCCTATTAAGGCCGGCATAGTACCTATAACAAAAGGAAACAATTTAGTATTTGACAAGATAGAAAAAAAAACTTACGTCTGTAAGGTAAGGTATGGATACAAACGTGATTATCCACAGATATTGACAACACAGCCGCTTCTGCTACACTAGTAACAGTATGGTTTTCCGAGACTGGCAAAAACTCCAGCCCCGTTACAAACATGGAATGTGCTCCAGGAATATTCAGAACCCTCTAAAAAACTCTTTACATTTTTGCCACTTTTTCTACTTCCCTACCTGAAGACTAAACGCAATATAAATTATAACAGAACCGCTAAACATGGTCCCAACAGCCACAAATCGTCCATCATTTCTCACCGCAAGCGCAGCAAGACTTTCATCAAACTCAGCCGATTTTTTAATCACACCTTCATCGGGGAGCCACTGCTGCAAGTAGGATTTTTGCTTCTTGGCCAGGCCTGTGGGATTGGCCAATATATAAAGAGCCGACTTGCGGTCTTCGCCCTCAATTATGCCAAATCTGAATAAAAAATGAGTTAGTTGTTAACGCAAAAAATGTTAAAAGCCGACCTTGCTCGTTTGTATAAATATTTTGAGCCCTCGGGCTGTTTCCACGTCAATTTGCGAATCTGTTTGCCTTTGGAACAGTCCCAAAGGATCGCGACACCATCTTTGGCAATTGAAATTAGATAATTTTCGAAAACGCTGAAGTCCAAATCGTCAATTTCCTTCGTGTGCGCTTTAAGCACATGGGCGGGTTGCAGGGTGGGGAATTTCCACAGTCGTACGATACCGTCAGTGCCTCCTAATACAAAAGCAATTCATAATGTTGTTTTCGTGATAAAGTTAAAAAATATTTGCCTGTGGCTAAAATTTTGCCAGTGGGGTGAATTCTAGTCACCCTCAGTAGCGGCTCTTTCCCTTGAAAATCCGTCTGCACACTATCTGAAGGCATAATCATAAACTTCAACCTCTTTGAGTTTTTATTGTTATCTGTCTTCTGCTTAGCTTTAGGTTTCCTTTGTTTCAATTCATGATTGTGGCCGATATTTTCAATAACATCTTCTTCGGTGACTAGAACGCTCTCAACGTTATACAACTGACAATGACTCTCTTGCCCCGCTACCAAATACGAATGTTTATTGTCACTATAGGCCGCACAATTCATTACAACACTAGGTCCAGTTTCATGTCGTGTAATTTCCTCAGCAAGAAATTTCGTGCCGTCATGAGCTAATTCAAAAATTTCCTTAAATATATATATTACGTAAATAGATTCTTGTTAATTGTTTCACTTACAAAACCATTTGCCACTCCAGTTTTTGAAGATCCGCCACCTCCACCAACGATTACGTGTCTGTTGGTTAACATTTGTACCGTGTAAAGAGGAAAATTTAACCGGGCCAATATATTGTCAATGTATTTACGTGACGGTGCCATTTTTTCAACAATTTCGTTCAATATTTTTCAAAGCTCCACGTAGATAACCTACAAAAATATAAACACTTAAGGTCTATTGCGCAGGCGAGAATACAAGCATACGCTCGCGAGAATGTAGGATCACGAGAATTCCCATAGTAATTAACCACTAGCATATCTTTGTTTTTTCCACTAGATCCCACAGTAATAATTTTGAAATTTAAATAATGCGGCTTTTATATTTTATTTCGTTCTTTGAAAAAAAAACTAAAAAAATCTAATTTTTAAGCAGTATTTTAGTATTCTGTAACAAAACTACATCGTGGTCTTAACGTCAAATTTACAATAATCTGTAAACAAAATAAAAAATGTTGACTGCCATCTGTACGTTAGACTTCTAAACATAATGTTCTACTAACCTCAGTGGCGTAACCAGAGATAGGGTTTAAGGGAGGATTTAAGATTTACCTATGTAAAAAATTTTGAGCACTGATTTAAACGTCATTTCAAAGAGGACGATGTAATTATGGGCTCAATTGTCAAAACTGCTTTTATGACGGATGTGTTCAATAAGAAATCAGCATGAAAATGCCTGCAGTTATAATAGACAATTCACACGTAATTTTAAAGGTACCCGGAAAAAATGGCACAGCAATGTCATTCAGTTGACATTTTATGCATAACGGGCCTTAGATAATGAGTATACTTTTCATATTAATGTGCATCAAGTAGATTGTACAGAGCGATCAAGATAATTTGTAATCCATTCCTCTTTGCATCTGAGAACGTATGTCTGTTTTTGAACTAACTGCACGTGAAACGGCTAAGTTGAAAGTTAAAACGTCAAAATGGGCTGGAATTAGTCGCCGACGTATAATGATACGAGTAGGATCGTCCTTTTTTGACGATGAATTATAAATTTAGTTATTATAATCATCACCTTTATGATCATATCATTTTATCGGTTTCTGTCTGTTAAGAGCAATGTTACATGCACAAAAATAGTCTAGTAACTATGACATTACCTTATTGATTGCTGTAAAATTTTACAATATGGAAATATCAATTGTACAATATCGATATGTCATTTTAACTGACATATCGATATTGTTAAATTGTAAACTCCCTCGGATTTCAAACTGACATCTGCAACTGTCATTACATCCTAGAATTTTTGGATTTAATTTGTTCCAATTTTTGGATTTAATTTGTACCGAAACCGATAAAATCTTGAACAAACCTCGGATGTAATAATGTATAACAGCCTTAGACGATAAAACTGACATCTGCAGCTGTTATGACATTTACTACGTCCTAGGTATGTTAATAGCTATTACCTTTTGACTTGTCATTTTACCTGACATTTTACATACATACCTTTTCGGATTCAAGTATAACTCGATTACAAATTATCTTGATCGCTTGATAGTAGTTTAAATGAATCTTTAACTTAAAGGATGATTCACACAAAATGTATCATTAATATGTCACTCAGAACAAAGTTAAACACATTAATAATGACAAAAATCTTTATGTTCGCTACCCTATGTTAATTACGTTGTTACCTGGGGCACACATTTATTTGAAAAAATAATTTGTAGGGCAAATTAAGGCTAATTTTTGCATGGTTGCCACCTTAAAATGATCTCTTTCAATGACTACTGCGATGGCACATTAATATGGAAACGAGTATAGAATGATAATGACTTCACTTTGAAATTATCACTGATGTAGTTATACTCGTATCATGTGTTCCAATAAAAAGTTCATAATAAATTATAACTTTAATTTGTTGATAGAAGAAGACGTAGTAAAAAACGAATGTGTTTTTTGTTTCGTATCACTTAAATTGTTGTGTTGTTTCGTTCAGTTGTGGTTTAATTTTTTCCTTGGGTTTTTTACGAGCAAATCAGCTATAGCTAACCACAACTTATTTTTTAGTTTTGAAAAATTAAGAATGACTTAGAAATTTTCAGATAAACCTATTTTTTGTAAAGTACTTATTATGTTGCAAATACGACAATAATTTTATAAGAAAAGTTGTTTAGAATCAACATCTAGGCCCCACCTCCATACCCAATTTCAAAATCATCGGCCAACTAAGATTTTTCTTTTTTAATCCAAGATAGCTTTTTAATAAGAGATACGTTAAAAAGTTATTTAAAAAAAGTTGATTGAACTCAAAATTTTAAGTCAATATAATTTCAAAAACCTTGGCCAATTTTGAACTCACATTTTCTTTTATGTATACAGGGTGCGTCAAAACTCGCGCCCCAGAGAAAATTTTCAAGTAAGGTAAGATACCAAGAACTGTTTAAAAAATTCTATCCGTCAAATAATTTTGATATTTATTTTTTGACATTTGACATTTTTTTATGTGTATTTAATAATACTTATGATCTTGTATATGTTTTTTTACAATTATTTAGTAAAGGTACAAAAATTTTGCTAATAAAAGCCACAAATAACATTGAATAGAGTTCCAATTTAGGATACAGCTTCTTTGTTTCCTTTTTTAATGGCCTATAGGAAAAAAACTTGGAAAATAATTTTTCCAATAGAAATAAGTAGAGTCAAAGTGCAAAATTTAAACCCTCATTACTTCGAAATTTTTATAGATAATTTTTTTTAACATTTTTTCCATGTTCCTTATATAGTGTGAGTTCTGGCGCAGCCTGTATTTCCTAAAAAAAATTATACATTACACATTTTCCCTAAATACATATCATTATTCCTCCATTAGAAACTTAATAATTGCTTGGGGCTGGTCAAATTGATTTTCATTTTAAAATAATTAGCGAGGATTTATTTTCGGTCTATTTTTCAAATTAAACAACCAAACCAATTTACACAACAAACATTAAACTCTAGCCCATTTTATCCAATTTCCTTGCAGCTAATTAATTTTTTTAATTAGGGATAGGGTTTTCGAATCCCTCTGCTTCCCTCACGAGCCATTTATACGATGCGCGCAAATCTTTCCGAACTAGTTGTGCCGTCGTCGGCAACAAGTTGAGTCCTAGATGTGTCGCTGTGGAATACAATGCGAGTTCTTATTTTAACATTCTTCCTCCACCACACCACCGCCATCAATAAATGCTGCGACGCCGACAGTTATCTCCGCAAAAATAACTCCGTCTACTCGTGCGATAAAGACGAAGACAAGAGGTTGCAAGTCTTCACGAAAAATACGGATTTCTTGAAGGAACGCAATGGTGACTGTGTGGAGGCTCACCACAATGTCACCGAGTACACAATTCGAAATTACACCATCATCGAGGAGAAGCCGATCGCGGTTAACTTTTACCCCAAGTGTTGTCCTCTTGGCTATTTTTACGACTCTGTTGCTCATTCATGTGTTTGGAGAAAAAACATGAACGAGAGTTTCATCAAACAAAACTTCATTAGAGTGGGCTTGCCGCAGTGTTTGGTGATTGTTGATTATAAGTTAACACCGGGGAATTTTAGTATGGAGTTGGGGAACTTGTACATTGGGGAGTTGGAGAAGTTCAAGGATGGCGAGTTTTGTATGGATTTGGACAGGGATGGGGGGCTGATTGCGAGAGGGTGTTATGAAGATTTTTCGATCTGTGATAAACACAGGTGTATAAGGAAATGTTGCCCAGATGGACAGAGTTTTGTTAATGGACCCATTTGTAGAAATACTTATCACCATGGGCTTGATTTGAATTTCACAGACAGAATTGTTAAGGCAGAAGGTAAATTCATCAGTGTGTTTTCAGAAAAAAGTTTTTAAATCAATAAACATGTTTTATTGGAACGTAGAGCTTTATTTATTGAAATTGCAAAGATGGTTTATTTTTTATTTAAACGAATTTCCCTCTTTTATTGCAATAATTGCATGTAAATTATCTTAATTTTAAAACTGCATTTTTTTACGTTAACGACTTTTCGGAAACATATTGACGAAAAATTTCAATTCCATGGTTGGAATTAAATATTTAGACAATATGGAATAGCCTGAAAATAATGAAAAGGCTTATCTGTTATATGTTTATCCTTATATGTTAAAATCCTAATTTTAGATGGGCTTATCTGTTTTTGTTTCTAAGAAATAAGAAAAAAAAATGCGCTCGAAGTCTTGAGCATATAAAAATTAAGAATCTTCCAGCTGCGATATGTGAAAAGATTTCTTGACTGTATTTATTCAAACATCAAAGTCTAACTAATTTTGGAGAAGACGATCCCAAAACTCGGTTACAACAGAATAATTCTTAGATTTCTTACAGGAGTAGTTATTTGTTCTCTGTCTTACTACGTCAAATGGTCAAATGTAAATAAAAAACAAGAAAAAAATAAATGTAAATCAAGAACAAGAAACAAACTTCGTCGACGAGAAGAAAGACTAGTGTTGAGTTTTTAAATTAATTATAAAGAAATTTAGGTAACGATAAATACAGCGAAATATAAAGATTCTTTAGAAAATGACAATACGCATGACGATAAATATTTACAAAAGACAAAATTGTGACACTCATTTTTTCATTTATTTATTTATACAATGCAACATGTTTTATATATCCATAAATAATTACAAAGGCGAAGACTGAAGAAAGGGGGCACTCCGAAACAGGCCTAGCAATTTAAAATTTTCTAGTTTCGTGAAACAATATTTACAACCCGTTTGATGAGTTTATTTACCTATAAATTTATAAATGTGTCGATGGAAAAAAATCTGATTAGATCGAATTGATGTGTTTAATAATAAAACGCCAATAACCATTAACTTTACGCTTGAGGGAGTCAGTTTTCGAAATTATTATATGATATGTGATATAACATTCGTTAAGCTCTACTAACCACATAATTAATAAAAGACAAATGACACAAGTATTAACACGTGATGGAATATTTTTTGTTTAATCTATATTCTAATACGAAAATGAATATTTTAATAGGATGTGATTTCTGATGCAAGAATTCAGGAAAGTAATTCAATTTGACGTGTTTTTATAGTGGCTAGGAATAATTTATTTTTAGATGATTACTAAAAATGTACCTACTTTAAGAATTTAAGATGTATTTGGTCACAAATATTTACTACATGTAGGTAATACATTCAATTCAATATTGTTTTAGACCAGAGCATGGGCGCCGACTTTTCATATTTTCAATGGAAAAACTTGATAAATTAATCTCTTTTAAACCAATACAAATAACATAAAAAGTTTCTTTTTAGATCTTCTATACAGTACAACTTGCAGGACGTGAGAACAATTACGGAAAAAACGATTTCTTTTTCTCTATTTTTGCTGAATTTAATGTATTTAATATTCAGAACATTTAAAAACAATATAATTTTTTGTATAGTACAAACGAAAAAATCAATAAATAACAGTAAAAAATACAAAAGTGGTTAATGTATGTATACAATAAAGAGTATAATGAAAATAGTGCTTGTTCAAAGTTGCAAAATGCTTCAAGACTTCAAGTTTTTGAGTTTTGAGAAATAATTAATTACAGTTAAATTTGAAAAAAAAAATGGAAACATTTTTTTCCTTGTTTGGAAACAAATAACAAGCTATATGATTGTACATAACACAATTTTTTAATTTTATATTTCAAAATGTTTTGTTATAGTTTTGTAATTAAAGTTAAACGTTTTTAGGGGTTTTGAAGCAAGGTACCTGTACTAATTTTTTGCTTTTGTTTTGGATTTCAGAGCCATTTGCTGTCATCCACAAACAGTACAGCTGCAGAATCTACATACTGAAGAAAAGAATTCAGTTTTACATAGCAACTGATGGAACCTTTTATGCCTTCTCAAATAAAACGAACTCTTATGAACGCTACACAATCGAAGAAAAATCCTACTGCATCGAACATGTGCAGAAACAGGAGCAGAATCTCAACGGTTTCAAATTTTTCATGTGTTTTAAGGATAATCCTCCGAAATTAAAATTTCTTGCGGAACGTTGGGCGAAAATAGTTTCATGTATTTTCCTCGTTCTCATTATTGCAATTTATTTATTTTTCCCAGAAATGTTGAATTTATTTGGATTGATTCTTCTCGCCTATTGTGTAACGACTTTATCTACTTTTATTATTTTTGTCTATGTCCAGTTTGAGACGGATCTAAGCGATTCGACTTGTTCTAATTTAAGTAAGAGTACCTATATAAAACATGAAATTTTGAAAATGTTTTTAATGTTATAATTGCAGGTTTTGCTTCATCGTTTTTAGTCTGGTCATCGTTCACGTGGCTTAATGTAATGTGTTTTAATATCTGGTGGACCTTTGGGTATGGTTTTATTGGCTTTTGTTGTAATTTAATAAGTGGTGTCATTTATGATGACCGATTACTCAAGATCTGTTTATTAGGAAGTACCTAATCGTTCTTATTTTGTAGGTCACCAAAATCACTCAAGACAGCAAAAGAAAAGAAAAATGAATTAAAAAGATTTTTTTTGTACAATTTATACGCATGGGGTGTTCCAGCTAGTTTAACACTGATTTCATATTTATCTTCTAAAAAATTTAATTTACCATATGTCATAAAACCGATGCTTGGTTCATATAAATGTTACTGGGAGAGAAGTACAATTCCAATTATTTTACTTTTTTGTTTTATGCATTTTAATTGTAGGACCTGGAAATTATGGAATGCTAATTTTTTACATAACTCCTTTAATTTGTATAGAACTGATTAATTTAGTGTTGTACGTGCGGACAATGATTTATTGCTTGAAAGTTAGAGGAGAAATAAATAAAATGAATGCTAACAGAATTTTGTCACAAGAAAGAAGAAAAAACTATCATTTGGATAAAGAACAGTACGGTTTGTTATATAAGAATTTTTGTTATAAAAATTTTTTTTTTCAGATTACTCCTGATTTTAAAATTAAGTATTATCATGGGAATTTTTTTTGCATTTGAAGTTATTACGTCTATTATTGACTGCAGTAAATACCCAATTACTGAATATATCGAGATTATTTTGGATTTAATTAACTGTTTCCAAGGTATTGTTGAAAAATAAAAGGTTCAAGTCAAAAGTTTTATTTTTAAGGAGTTTTTATCTTTCTGATATTTGGTTGCAAGAAGAAGATTTTTCGATTTTACCGAAATAAAATATCTACAATCAGGAAAACTTCAGCATCTTCTACTCCGAATGCCACGACACAAATGACTGAACTACTTAATTCCAAGTCTAGAATTAGAAATGTGTAATTTTAATTTAAAATATAATTTTTTATTTAATATTTGATGAGTCTGATTTTTGTATACTAAATAAATGAATAATAAAGAAATGTGTATAATAAATTAAATCTGTTTAAGTCCTGTTGTTTTATTTTTTAAGACGATTAAGTCGATTGTTTTAAAATATAATACTAAAAATGTGTATCTGATTGTAATCTAAACCATTGAATCTTACAAGAGACTCAAGAGAGTATGAAGTCGTAGAGAGTGTGATTCCAGAACTTTTCTCGTACACATTCGGCACTAATCTCTTGCCTGAAACAACGTTTTTGAAAAGTTTAGTTAAATTATTTTCACTTTATTGTTGTTCTCTTGTAACATTATTGTTGAAAATAAACTTATCAAAAATTTTAGTACCCAGTGACTGAATGTTAGAATCAACAATAACCTTTGGACATACTTATGTTATGTACAGGCAGGCAACCAAATATACACAAATAAAAAAATAATCAATATTATGGCGTTATTAGAGGTCTTTTTAATTATTGTATGCTCGAATTCAAATTTGGCTCTACTGTATTTATTATTCTGGAGTATAGTTCAAAAAATTACCAAAACATTAATTCAGATTATTTGACAATCTTAAATATTTTTAAATTGGATACCTTATTTTTGCAGATATTGTCATTGTCATAACAAACTTTTGTGTCATCGTGAACAGAAGAAACTTACAAACTTACATAAATTTAAAAATAAACACATTGTATGCATTAGTCAACCACTCAAACACAGTGTTTTGAAATAGATTTTGCTTCTAAATTATGTTGGAAGCACTATCATGGATAAAATAAAATATTACCTGTAGATATGAAATAAGATAATCCATGGACTTTTCTATAAGAAATTGAATCGTCAATAAATTCTAGCAGTGGTGGTTTTAGGAATTTCTTTTAAAGTGCGTCCATCCCATGGAGGTGTCCATCCATATTTTAAAACGACATTTTCATTCCTTGAGTGGTTTATTGTTCTCTTAACGAGGGTAGTCGTAAAAGTGGTGAGCAACTTAATCCAAGTTCAAATCTTGGACCGTCTTAAACTAAATCAAGAAACAGAGCCGTAATTCCACTTTTGCTTCTTTTTAAAATTGTCAGTGAATTTTTTATCTCCTATAATTGCTACAATTTTTAACGGACTTTAATAGAATTTGGTTGTTACTGTAAGTAATACCGAGTAATACTTCTATAAAAAAAATCGTGTCTCTGTTAATTTTGAATAAAAATTGTTCGTAAACTGTAAGTAACAATTTTTATCAAAAATAATAATCAATAATTACCTACTCTTTTAAAAAAGCTAGTTTTCACTATTGACCTGTGTTATTTATGTAGTTTACGTACCTGGAATTTTAAGAACCTCAACATTCGAGAGTTTATTGCAGGGTAGGTAAATAATCTCCTAATAATGAGAAATGAGACTATCGTAAACGACCCAAAATGTTAACTAGTGATTAAAAAGTCGTTTTTAAATATCGGTAGACGCATTGTAAGAGTACTCAGCTCAAGTATAAAAATGAATATTAAACAACAATAATAATTATTTAATGGTTCTTATTAAATTTTGTTTTGTTCTTTATTTCTTGTAATGACAGAAGTCAATAGGGGTCATCTGCCTCCTGGTCACTGGTTAAAAGTTCTTTACCTGTGACATGATAACTTACAAGCTAATGARTCATTTTTCTGAGAAATATAAACTTTTCTCAAAATAGTTGAAGCAAAATAAATGGTTTTAACAAATAATTTTAAATAGTTGTAAGCAGGGTTTAAGATACCTTACAGTTATGTTTATTTTATATGTATGAAAAATTAAGAAAAATATTAATTTATAGCGTCAACATGATATTGAAATGAACAGCATTAACATTTAGACAAATACGAATAATGCATAAAACATTTATGACTCAATAAATAATAATTTGTGATTACGAGCTTACAAAACACTAGGCTAAACTCTGAATTTCTAGGTTTTTTTAATAAATATGTATGTGTTTTCAAATGTTCCATGAAGTATGTAATATATTTGAAACAGATGGGAGATATTTATAATAGTAGTTGACAGAGTATATGATGCCATCAATGCAAATTTTTAGATTCTAGATTTTAAAATTAGGATTAATCAAAGTTAAGTGGTGGAAGCTAAATTAGTTTGATTATTAAATTTTATTAAAAATGTCAGCAACATCCTGTGATTGATTACTTTGCTAAACAATTAAGCTTCAGTAATCTAATTAGCAATAATTTATTTTGGACACTCTTTCAATAATAATTATTAATATCTGCGTACTGTTTATTAGATAATAATAAATTATATCCAAATTACAAACAAAAATGCAGTCATTTTTTATTTAAGGCCCATTTATTTGTGACTATTTTGTTTAGATAAGAATATCAATTGTTTGAATTATTTTAGTCAACATAGGTCATATAAAGACCAAATTAGCACAACTTATTAAAGGCTAAATATTAAATATTTAAATTTTAATTTATATTGTTTTTATTTCTGACGTGAAAATAATCCAAAACAAATTATTTAATTATTTTTTCCAATTTGCGTGCTATTTACTTGCTTGTAATTAATAACTGCTATAAAAAGCAGTTCATGCTGCAAAACATCTTCCTTCGCTTCAAGGCAAGTGTCAATTACAATTATTAGCACAACCTAGCAATTAAATTGAATTTATTGACCTACTCGTTTAGGTATTTAGTATATAAATAGTTATAGATAGTAGTATATTATATGTAGTACATACATATAAACGTCTTTTTTTTTCTTGAACCCTAATAATAATTTAATGAAATAAATAAGTCTATATGTAATAATTATTCAATATTTGATAATGTAATTTAATTTAATCTTGTGGGAGATTCCTTTGGAGAACTTTTGATACAATAAATACTTTTGGCGAAAATCTCTGGGGATTCCTGAAATCAATTTGTGTAATTGCATTGTGAAACCGGTTTTCAAGGCAAGTGCGTGTTTATGTATCAAAAAATCTAAAAATTAAAATTGTTCTTAAATTACATTACGCACAATCAAACCACTGATGAGAAGCAGGCATATTGTGTGAGCCGGAGTGTAAAACTGCCACACTGCCAGTCCTGTTAAAGACTTTGGCAAAGTAACACGATGTAACAACACGAGCTAACATTGACCATGCTTCGTTTATTCTTCGTAATATTGACAGTACAAGCGTGCTCAAGCACACAAGAAGTCTATCCAAAGTGTTGTGACAGTGCTAGTGTTTTAAGAAAAGTTAACTCGGTGTATAATTGTACCGAAGATTTAAACCAAAGGACACAAATTTTAACAAATAGTACGAATTTTATTGAAAGTGACCAATCCGGACGTTGCATAGATCTAGAAAATTCGGTGACACTTTTTGAAAGCGTTCAAGGGAATTTGACTAAAGTGCAAGACTTAAATGTTGAATTTTATCCCAAATGTTGTCCACTTGATTACTTTTATAATAGGACAACTCATGGTTGTGTCAAATCTAATCAAACATTGGAGCCGTTCTTTGAGGGAAAGTTTGTTACAGTTGGGCTTCCCCACTGCAAAATTATTGTAGACGTACCTGCAAATAATAGTCAGAATGTAGAACTCTTCCTTGAAGAAAACAAAATAAAAAAAGGATCGTATTGTGTTGATCACGATCAAAATAAGAAATTTGTTTTAAGGATATGTTCCGACAATTATGATGTTTGTGAAAAAAGCAGGTGTATTAGGAAGTGTTGCCCAGATGGGCAAAGTTTCRTCAATGGGTCTAAGTGTTACAACACGTTTGTTCATGGACTGGATTTATCGACGTTTTCTGAAAACATAGAAAATGTCAATGGTAATTTTTAATTTTATTAGTTGTTCCAAATCTGAGTATTTGTCACTAAAATAAGTACCTAATTACTTATTGTTTGAATTAATTTAAAGTCTGTAGAGGAAATATGTGAAGGTTAACCAATTAATATAATTTGCAGCATGCTCCTTTACTTTCCTGTTTTCGTTATTGTAAGTAATGAAGAATCGTTAYAGCAACGATAGTTTTGAGAATTCCTAATTTTTTAAGCAAGGATGGTCTWGAATCCAYCTGTGTATTAATTATTACTGCCAGATATGTAGAAAATTCTTTAATCAGTGATAATTCTGTAGTTAATAATAGCTTTGCCGAAGCACGACAAATTTAAAAATACCAACTTTATATTTGTTAAGAAATCTAAGAATAAAATGCGGGAGCTTAACTCAAAATAGAACCCTTTTTCAAAAATTGTTTCTACAAAATGATTTAAAATATTTACAATGGTCTTATTACGATTTAGGTCCAGTGTATTTAAACAAAATAGATAAGGGTTCTTCATTGTTTAAACAACATTAACYTGGTATCAAACTTTTATTGCTTTAAATTAATAGTACAAATTCAAGGTTGCATTACTGAATTTTGACCGATCTGTATTTAAATGTAAATTCATGTGCCATGGAAAGGTTCAATTTTTTGTTGGAGGACAGGTTTTAGTGAAAATAATTGTCGTTTTTATTTTTTGAAAGTTTAAATAAAAATTAATAAAACATTAAGGAATTGATCTTAAAAGAGATACGAAATAATTAAGTTAATTAACTGTTCTTGAATATAAACTTCTGTTTTATTGAATCTGACAAATTTTTTCATAAACCAATGATTGCGAGATCGTTATTTAAGTGTCAAGGACAGCGGTTTCTGTCTCTACATAGTGTATAATTTTGCGATGTTTATTGGTACAACAAATAACATTCAAGAACAAGGGATTGAAACGGAAGTCKCCTTGTAGTCTAGCTATCAACATTGTAATATTTATTTTCATAATTCTCTGGAATTATTATTTTACTTGTAGTAAATTTGAAGATTCTTGTAAATATTCTACATCTTGTTTGTAATACCTGTATGAAACGTAACAGAACAAAATTTCATTTAATTTTATCGGAATTTATTGAAAAACCTGCTTTTACATACATGAAAGCGTCTATTCAAATGAGGAGTATTTCCAGGTCGCTTTAACACCTAATGTAATTAAATGGAAAAATCCCAAAAAATTGTGTGAAACTTCAATTASCTTTATGACTCACTGCGTGTGAATTGCACATTTGCAACAAATTTATTTATAATAAATTCATTCGTATTTCGTAAGCATTAACCCTGCTATAAAGATTAATAGCATCTACCTTGACACTACGAGTATATTAACCCATCACTGGGCTGTTTAATTTGTAGATATAAGTCTTTTGTTTGGTAACAAAACAAAATTAGTTTCCTTCATTTAATGTCTCGTGTATATTATCTTTTTTCAGATGGATTCTCGATAGTTCACGATGGCTACAATTCACCCTTATATTCACTTAGTCCGCAAACCATGAAGTTTTATCTCGATGCGAAGGGCGTGTTTCAAATGGACGAAATAGACGAATTTGTTGGAAAAATCAAAGTAACAAAAAAATACAGAGTGGACGAAAAAATTTACTGTATTGAACATGCATTGAAAAGGACAAGAAATAATTATTTAATCTTCCGGGGATACCCGGAGCAAAGAGTTCAGACGAAATATGTCTTCACCAGTATAGCAATGGCAATTTCGTGCTTTTTTCTTGTTTTAACAATTCTCTATTACTGTTTTTCCAACGAAAAACAAACTTTATTTGGGAAAACTTTGATCAGTTATTGCTTAGCATATCTTCTTACTTTTCTTCTCTTGAGCTATTTTACTCTTGTCGAATTTGCCAAAGGCCATCATGAAATGATTTGTACCGTTTTTGGTAAGTTTAATTTTTGTTTGAAACTTATTATAAAATGGAAATGTTTTTAGCTTTTCTCGTATTGTATACAACCCTGGCTACGTTCTTTTGGATGAATATTTTGTGTATCGATATCTATTGGACTTTTGGGTGAGTAGATTTATTTACATAAAAGTTCGCACCTACTTTAACCAAGCTTTTAACTAATTAAGACTCTCCTTGCAAAAAACGGAGCGATGAGTTTTCCCAGTAGGGAATTCGGTGTCGAGTCAATAAACACATTCGACCCAGCAATAAAATTTATTGGTTCATTGTTTTAATCGTTGGTTACTTTTTTTGTTATTCAAAATTGTAGCTATGACGTATCATAAACCGTGATTGAAACTGTTTTAAAACAAATAAATACGCGGTATGACGTATATTGAAATGAGTCAGTAAGTAATAATATTTCTCCAAAACCGTTAATACAATAGACGAATGGCCGATTTAGAAACAGTTTTGGATCGACAGGAAGTTCGAAAGTGTAATTTCTTTTTCTAGATCCTCTAAATCCTTTTCGAGTCGTCAACACAGGAACAAGGAGTTGAAACGATTTATTTTATACAGCTTGTACGGTTGGGGTTCTCCGTTGGTTTTAACCGCAATCCCTTTAATTTTTTACCATGTGGACGTTTTACCGTCTGCACTCCAAGTGATAATAAGCGAAAAAAAGTGCGTTTTGTATAGAGGTAGGTTTTATTGAAAATAAATCAGACGGAAATTAAGTCACAGTTTTCAAGGAGAAGGTAAATATGCCCATTTTATGTTCTCGACGATACCTTTAACGATATTGGAAATATGCAATTTGACTTTATTTATTAAAACTGTGATGTACTGTTTGAAAGTCAAAAGAGAAATTAATAAAATGAACGACACGCAATTGATGAAAGGGGAAAGAAGCCAGAAATTGAATAATTTTCGTGATAGGTAAGTGTGAGGCGTTTCAGTCGGCAGGTTGTTAATGGTAACTGTTTTAGGTTTGGATTGTTATTGAAACTATTTTTAATAATGGGAATCTCGTTTTTGTTCGAAGTGGTGTCAGGGTTTTACGATTTCAAGAAAAATGAGACCACGATTATGATTGAGTTAATTTGGGATACGTTTAACTGTCTGCAAGGACTGTTTATTTTTCTGATTTTTATCGTGAAAAAGCGAATTTTTAAAAAATTCGGGAAAAAAGTGGGATTGACGAAATTGAGAAAATTTTCTTTTGTTTCTTCAGCCGTGACTCAAACGACGTCACTTCCAACGTTGAATAAACAATAATAGATTTTTTGAGACTGGAATTGGAGAAATATTTGAAATTTCTTTCTTATTCGAGAATTTTAGTACAATTAATGGTAAATTATTTTCGTATTTAATGAATTGTGATCTAGTTTTAATCCAAAGATATTTATGGCTTAGATATATTTTGTTAGCGTAATATTAATGTGTACGAACATCGTTCTCGTTGTTTACTTGTTTTTATGACTTAAATCCTGTTTCTTCGGTGTACACACTAAATACATAAATACAAAATATAAATAAATTGTGATTTACATTTTTTCGTTTAAAAGTTATCTATATGATTATTAATTGATACAACTTGAGCTAAAATTAGTTTCAAAGCAATAGAACTTTGTAATTGAACAGTTTTTGTGTCTTTGTGGATTGAAGAAGTTAAAATTACATGTCTGGAGAAGTACTATTAATGAATAATGCAGCGAGCTTTTTTAAATTTACTTAGCTTTTTCGCGAGATGGCGCGTCTATCGTATTTAGTCAAGATTTTTTATTGAATTTCTAAAAGTTTACTCAGATTGTGACGAGTATATTTTTTATAATTTCATTTTACTTTCATTAGCTTAATTAATATGGAGATTACATTATTGATTTAATCAAATAAACAGCCAAGTCAATTCCGTAATAAGCTAGATAACTTTAAAGTAACCCTCTCTCTCTCTACTAACTTGTCTTCAACTAAATTTCAATTCGTCTTGGTTGGCAAGCTCTGTTTTTGCTTGTGGTGTTAGCTGTTTTTCTGGCAGCAGTGACTTTCTTGACTATCTCAAAGCAATTATAATTACTGGAAACTTGAAGGGTGGRTTATCWAAGTACACAAAGTGGGTCTTGTTACAAGAGAATAGGTCCTGTGGTAACATTTACATTCGACCAACTATCGACTTCTCAAAGTATTAATCCGACTTTAGAACGACCCACTAATGCATCAACATTATATAATCGAAGAGTCTGAATAGATTACATGGAAATCCATGTTCGCTATAAGGCGATGACTGGACAGAGCGTGGCAAAACTTACGAAAGCTTTGCCAAGGACGAGAAGGGGAGCAGCCAAAAACATTAAGCGACGAGTCGGATGGATTAGCCAATAAAACTGTCATGGGTGTATMTAATGAAATGTCTTTCCACTTCTGGTGTTTCAATCTCACACGTTGCTTCATCCATTAGAAAAATTATATTTCTTATAATGATTGTATATTTAAATTTTTAGACTCGATTAACTAAACACTAATAATATATTATCTTCTCAACAACATACAACAGAAGTTTTCGCAAAAATACGCATATTTTTTGCTGTGCATCAGTGCATACAAGATATTTACTCTTTTTTGCTTTTTTCCGCATGTATGCATTTCCCTCGCTGTTTCAAAGATAAACGATGCAAAACTAGCACAACTTCGCACGATAAAGAAGATTAAAATGTTTAAGTTGCTTTTGCAATTTCCAAAAAACATAAATAATCCTTGTTTGTTTGTTTTGTTTCTCTTCTTTAACACCAGATGGCTCTCGAATCGTTATCGCCGCAGTCGATCGCCAGCTTCCTCCGGAGCATAACCTCAAAAAATGTGCAAAGCTTCCCTACTGAAGAATAGTTTAACCGGTCCGGTCAAGTGGACAGTTGTCCCTAATGTCCTCAAAAAAGGTTCACAGTTGAACTGGCTGGATGCGGGATAGAGTATCGCGTGGCATAGGCTCAGATAATATCGATTGGTGAGGGGCGCAAGCGTCAGGAGGAAGGATGTTTGGTACACTCAGCATCCTGGTCCAGCCCGGGCGATGCGGCAGTCAGGATAGCAGCGTCTCGACGCGAACATTCCGCGCGACATCTGCCAAACACGGCGCTAAACATCGCGGCGGACTCTAGCCTCACATTTGCAAAACTCTAGTGTCGGGTTTTCAGAGGTTGCCTGAGCTTATGAGGAATTGAAATTTAATATTTGCAGGGACAGAACGTGTGGATGGTAGTGAGTTATGGGATTGCACTAATTTAAGGTAGGAAACTTAATTATCCAGCGCCATATGCTCAGGAATTTAGCGTAAAGATAGTTCGTAATTAAAAAGGGATGCAAGAGAACTAGACGAAATACATACCCAAAACTTTTGTAACTTAATTAAGATTTTTTGCACTCAATATTAGAACTAGGATGTAATTTGTGAAAAATGTTTATTATCGCTGCAACTAATATTAATTTACTAATACTTAGTTGTTTAAGCTGTTTAATTGCAATTAATACTGCTTTGCGTGTCTAAGCGGTGCACCTCAGTGGTATYGATGCAAAGCTCTGAGCTTTATATCGAGCTCTCTTGCTCGTCTTAACGAGTCTAGGATAAGGGTTATTTCTTAACGATTTACATTTAACTAAACTTTTTTGAGRTAGTGAACTCGACTAAAACAGGGCTCAATTAGGAGAGGTCGTTTGAAGAAACTCATCGGAATCCCAACTTCAGTCGTAACATTCTTGGAAACTTTTGTATTACATGTCAATCAGTGGCACACACAATTGTAGGTTGATTTTTGTTCCTAAAGTTAATTTAGTCGGCTTTTGCGGTGTTTCGACTTCTGAAATGAAATGGTAATAAGGGCGTATTCCCGAGCGTGCTGAACTGTTACCTTCAACCTTCAGGGCTTAAAAGAGATGTTTACTATCTATGAACTTAACGAATTAACCGGATGATATCAAAGTTATAACGAACTYTGGCATGTAGTTCGGAATTTGGGGGTGTTTTCGATTAGAGGGCGAATCGAAATTTCGCACGTCGATTAAATTGTGCGTGGGGTTAGAATTTTGCAGTTTTGAACGGAAGGCGATTTATGTAGCTGTCTGAAAGTTGTGTTTATGTTTCATAAAGATCTCTCACAATGCAATATTCAAGCGATAATTGTGGTATTTATCATGCAAACGAGACTGATATCGGTTTTTTGACATTGATACGCTTGAAAAATGTCAGTTTTCGGAAAATTTATTTCCATACTTCGGATAAGGTTCCAATAAAACGAGTTTTCATCGATATTGGATTAATTTTATGAGAGGCGATTATTATTCAGGACTTTACAGCGACTAGTGCAACATTTTAATGAAACTTTGTAAGGACTTACCATGCGAATTATTGGTGCTTTGCGTTTGCTTTAATTGGTATTAATTTTCGGCTCATTGCAGTTTTACTACCGCATTTTGCAGACAAATCGACAAAGATTTCGTGTGCATTATAACTGCATAATAGAATCTGGCGTAAATTTTATAAATTGACTAGACCAGAGCCATTCACTCATGTTTATGAACCGTAAATTTTCAAACGATGGTATAGTGACAATATCCCGAGTTTTAGGCAAATTGAGCGTTTTATGAACTCGCCGTCATAACCATTAACTATTAAAACTACTCTAATAAACTTGCCGGGTTTATATAAAAAAGAACATCAACAACACAATAAAATAAAAAAAATGTAAGTCAATTAAGATAAAAATCTAATTAGTCTAACCACACAAATACCAAAATGTGCCACACTACAAATTTAACTTTTTTTATATAATAATTATGTACTTTAATGTCTTTTACTGGTAATAATCGTCATGTGTGTATAGGGCCTAAAGGAAATATCTTTGTTCAAGGGAAAATAAAACATTGTTAAAATATATTTAACAGTCTTTTCTAGCACGATTGTACTCGTACGTTTCTTACACAACATTAATTTGTACAACAAGTTTTAAATTCTTGAGGTGAGTATATCATCACACGTAAGGCTTTGTTTTTTATAAAGGTCTGTATTGTTCTTGTTAGATAAATTGAATATTTCTTTTTTGAAACATTGGCTTACAAAGTCAAATTTTCATGAGCAATCTAGGAACAGGTCTCGAATTGAATACATCATGTTTTTTGCATTTTAACGACCCTTGGCAATGTTGTAAACAAGTACAGCGATTTTAAAGTTGAATGTGCACTTTTATCACTGTTGTTATTCTCTTATTTTATGACGCGAAAATTTGATGTATTGAGTAGTTTGTTTACTTGTTAATGCCTCGGTGTAATGATATTTTACGCATTAGGTGCCATAATAACTGTTGACTTTAACTTAATCTAATTTCAAGCTTTCGCAAGTTTAAGGTTAGCAATTTTCTAGAGTTAGCGTAAGCTTTAATATGTATTTAATGGTGCGAGGTGTAAGCATGCATCGGTGAGTGCAGTCAGGTGGCTATTCGCTTCCCCTATTCGTGACTTATGTATGATTTAAACCATCCTCTGGGACTACTTTGCACGCTTTATATTCCATACAACCTTATTGGATTGTTTTACAAATACTCGGCGGCAATTCTTTGCATACGGTTATTGTTACGGTTATGCCGTGTGCCGTTTGCGAACGGAAGTATTTTCCACACTTTATTATAGCAGATGTGAGATTTGTGAAAATGACTTTCATCAGCCTTGGTTCAACCTAATATTTGTTCACGGTACAGCCACATTTTTGCGATCGGATAAATCACTCTAATGCTCGTTTAGCATCAATTGTAAATGCGAAAAGAAKAGGCGTTATTATTTGAAGTGCCGGCTTAAATTGAAATCCAGTTTAAAAGAAGATTTAGGACCGAATGGAACATTTGGACTTTGTAAGCTAGTAAGTTGGTATAAACGCGATGCTTGTTTTATGATTTGCCGGAGACAGCGTTTAACCGAGCTACTCTCAAGAAAAAGGACTAAAAGGTTTTTTACCCTGTTCAGAGGTACTCGTTATGAGTATCTCCAATGAGATTTGAGAATTTGATTTCAATTATTTTAATGGGAGTTTCTTTTTTAATMATTTTTTTATCTTAGGTTTTGGGCAGTTTTAGATTTTTTTCTAAAATTCCAGTTTGCCTGAAATGAGACTTAGTAATGGTAAACCCCATCTAGTTTATTAGGTAATAAGGTATTACTATTTGAACAAAGTTGGAACTAATAAGTTTATCTAGAACTGCAATTAATTGTCATTAGGACAATGGTTTCTATGTGGTTACAGCTAAAATTAGATTTGAGTTAAACTAGTTGAACTCATTCAGTGTCGTTATCTCTAAGTAAAAATAAAAGAATTACTTGGTAAAATTTTGCGAAAGAAAAGCAGTGAATACTTTAATTTTTAATTGACGCTTTTTCCTATTAAACAAGCGAAACCACTCAAGGTTTGACTGTTTTCAAGTGTAATTAGAGAGAAGAGATATAAAAAATATAATATGATACGAGAAAAAAAACCGTTTTACCCTCAAAAGCTTGATTCTTTTGAGTTCTTTGATATTATTACATAGAATTTGGGGAATCATATTAAGCTTTTATAACGATACTGTTTTGTAGAAGATTACAATTTGGAGGGTTAAAGATGCAATTTATTTCATTCTCAGGATGTGACTGACAAAACGTCTGGAGTTGGTAGAACTTTGAATAAATCGCCTTGTTAAACAAACTGTTGACAGACAGAGCGACGTATTGACATGATACCCGATATTTTTTACGTTATTGTATCGCAGCTTTCAGTGACTGTGTAGTCTATTGAGGGTAATGCGAATTGACGCGTTGTTAGAAACCTATCTCTGGTTTATCGGGTGATTGATTTTAAGCGTGAAGCATTAAGTGTACCTGTGAAAAATTGTCTAGGCTTTTTGTGCTGATCCAAAAACTTAAAATGACACACGGCACATGTTAAGCAATTGTGTTAGGAAAGTTTAAAATAAGTTCTTTCTTTTTGGCGTCCACATTTCTTTYGGTTTGACAGTTCCACTAAGCGACTTAGTGGACCTGTTCTGGTAGGAAAACAGAATGAAATACTTTACACAAACTTATCTAATTAAGAAAGTAAACTTTGGGTTGTTTTAGTTTGTTCACACTATCTCCGACATCTGTTATAGTGTCGAAAGTTCAATTGAATTTAACGCGTTGTGAATTACGAGGTGGCGAAACTTGATTATCTCTAAATATTGATTTCTTGCATTTTATATGAGCAATTTAACATTAAAATTCGACGTTCATCCGAGCGCAGTCACCTAACAAATTTCGTTTATCCCTTACGTATCAACTGTTCATAAGGGAAATTTTATTATATGGGTGACTGCCTTGAATTTCTCTAAGCATCCCGTAGATGGCTAGTTTAATTTCAAACTATAAGATAAAGATGTAGTTGCTTCCTCTACTCTAGTTGAACTACTTACACAATTTCAATTTAATTCCGTGCCGGTATAGGCTTTAAACCTACTGAATTTTTTACAATATGCTACAATAACAACAAGTACATTTTCCTTTAAACGGATTTACAGCAACTATTTTKTTCACCAATTCTAAACTGTGATACAACACGTGAATTTTTAATGTATTAGTTTGCAGAGTTTGTTTCATTTGCAAATTACAAAAACGCCAAAGCGTTTTGCAAACATTTTTTATTCCACTTTATTGGATGTTTTTTTTTTGTTTCGAGTGATTAAGTTATGTTACCTAACGTAGTACTGTTCCATATTAATGGGCCATCGAAATATTCAAAGCGGATTTGAGAAGATACTGTTTCACCCTCTGAGTGTAACAAATTCAAATAGAACACTAATACGCTTATTTCATGAGAATTTTATTACAATGGGGATCTGCAAAGAGAGAACGTCGGTTGTAAATATTACGCTTCGAATTAATGACTTACTTGTGTATTACACATAGGCTGAGTTTCGCTTATAATCTGAATTAAATGAGAAGAGAGAACGTTCAGCAATACATTTCAAAGAAAAAGGATTAAAAAAGCTCTATATTTAAAGCCCCGACATTTTTTTCGGGTCGAAACTTTTAAGAGTTCGCATGAAAAAGAGTTGCAAAGGTGTTCGTGAAGCCTTCGAAGTGCCGAATCTGTAAAAATTTTACACTTTTTAAAAAAGAAAGTGGTTTGATGTCTTTGGACTCGGATCTATTCTTTGACCGAAGATTTAGATACAGCAAGTCCTGTGTTCGGTAGAGTGAAGCAGCCACAGAAATGTTTGTTRTAWTTACGAA